GTGAATTCAGTGGTTTTATTAGAGTAAAAAGGCTTTCATTGGAATTATGAAAATTCGTTATATCGGCTGGTAGATTCAGATACAACTCCAACTTAAATCACCAACATTAATAAATGGCGGCTGAGAAATTCTTAAAATTTTCGTTGCTACGACGGCTACATTATATGTAAGATATCCACGAGTCAAAATTTTGATACTATTTATTTTTCTTTTTACGTCATGATTGGATAGGGCTCATCGAGTTGCGTAACAAAAAAAAAGTGTGTTTCAAAATTTAAAAAATTACTAAGTTCAAAGTATCATTATATTCAAATATAAGCGAAATTTTGAATTTTACGGAGTATTTTAAAATTTATTTTTAAGTTTGCAACACATTTTTTCTTACGTAACTCGACAAGTTCTATCCAGTCATGACAAAAAAAACAAAATAGTATTAGAATTTTGACTGATGGGTATCTTACATATACTTTAAATATCTAAAAAAAACTCCATTATCTTACACGGTGCACACGGCGGGCAGCTCATATTTTAAATTTTTCAGTTTGACATAGGGATGTGCAGTTTCGATGAAAATAGTGAACTACTGACAGTGACACACTGACACTGAGTGCACTGACTGCGGTGTCTACACCAACATTAATATTCACTGAACCAGTGCATACACTGACACTGACTGCACCGGTGTCTGGATTCACCGAAACAGTGATGCTCATTGAAGTATCAAGTCGCCGACTCTATAAAAATATGCACTACTCATGACTTTATTTATGACTATCAATGAAATTAGCGAAATGGCTATACTTATTCCTCCAGAAAGAAGGATTCATTTAAGTAATCTATAATTTTGAATAATAAAGTCAATTTCAACGAAATACGCTACTTATAGTCCTAATATTGACACATAACTACGGGATTTTATTACTCAACCAGATTCATTTAAAGAAGATGAGAGTTTCTTAAAATTTATGTGGACTTTGTAAAACTATTTGTATCGTTTCGATTACATAAATTTTTCGCTTTATTTAATCTTTCTTATGCAATGGTGAAAAAAGTATATGTACGTAAAAGTGTATGTAGCTTATCTCAACCAAGAAACCAAACTATTGAGTGGATATGCTTCCATTCAATGAAAATATTTCGTTCACCCGCATATTACAGGCGGAAGATGTTGTCGTCTTCTGTGTATAAATTCTAGTCAATGTAAATCAGTATCAGTACGTCAGTGTTCCAGTGTGCGTCAGTGCAACAAGCGCAGTCGGTGTCAGTGTATGCACTGATTCAGTGAACACCAATGTCGGTGCAGACAGTGGAACCAGTGTAGTCAGTATCAGTGTATGCACTGGTTCAGTGAACATCATGTCGGTGTATGCACTGGCTCAGTGAATACCATGTCGGTGTATGCACTGATTCAGTGAACATCATGTCGGTGCAGACACTGTAACTGAAGCAAGCAGTGTCAGTGTCATCAGTGTGCCGGTGAACGCCAGTGTGACTTTATCGGTGATCAGTATACTGAAACTGCACATCCCTAGATAGAACGTATAAATATGTTCGATCCTTCAATATCAATAATCTCCGTAAACGCTTATTTCAAGAGAATGGTGAACTTGATCTCAACATTCGACAACGTCATCTGTGCTCATATGTTAATACATTACGTAAATCAAAATATAATTGTTATACAACAGAACGAAGAAAATAAGAGTAATGAATTTTATTATTATACGAGCTGTGTAATTTTCAGCAGAGAAAGATATTTATAATTTAAGCTATACAAAAAGAAAAGTTTATGAAAGATCAAGACAGATTTATGTCAAAATTAAAATTATTCTTCTGTGAAAACTTTCAATAATACATAATTGAATCAGCTTATATAAATGATAAAAACTGTACGGTATTAATTGATATAAATGTAATGTATCTATTTGATTTGTCTATTGATTTTTTTATTAAAATTCTCATTAATGAACAAAAATCTTAGTAGAAAAGTAAAAGAAAAAAAATTGTAAGTTTGTTTGGTTTTTTTTTGCTGTGAAATTCAAGCTAAATAAAATAATTCAAACGGATAGATTGAAACATAAATGACTTACTATCGATCGACACTAAATAATGTTTGAATGAAAATTTTTAAAGAATTTAAGTATCAACTAACAATTTACGACAAAAAAAGCGATAAATGATTCATTCTATTTACTCTCAAAATAAAATTACATGCATAACGTTCATCAATATTTATCAGGTCATGTTTATATAAAATTACAAGTTTAAAATCTCTAATTGAAGTGTATTTTTTTTCCTGTAAGCGAACTTTTTCAATTATTTTTTTTTGTAACAGTTAAAAGGTCAAACATTGTTTCCGTTTCCAAAGTAAAAAGCAAAGTAACTAGAATCTTTTATTCAAACTGATTACTACAACTGATTTAGCTGTGAATTTATCAATTTTATGAAATGAATAAAATGTTTATCGTAGTCTTCTTTTATTTTTTGTTGTTAGTGAACTTTCTATATTCATATGGAAGAAAAACAGTGCAGTGTCAGACTCAACAAGATATATAAAGAGATTAATATTAAAAAAACATCCATATATAAATCTTTTATTAAAAGTTTTTTATTAGTAGAAATTTTTCATAAAAATTATAAGGACAATATCATTTAATCGAAGAAGGTTTGCAATTTTTGTTTAAATCTTGTTCATATTCCATAGATTCACTTACACTTTCTAGCATAATAAAAAAAAAATTTATATATGTATAATGAGAAAAGAAATATGTGATTCATTAATTTATTTGTTATTACTACTAAGATTTTTTTTACAGATTCAAATATTTAATCTATACATAATTTTATTTATAAAAATTCAGAGATATTTTTCAATGAACGAAATTGACGTACTACGAGAATAAAATTCTTTTTTTCTAATTATTATCAATAAAAAACATGTAGTTCAAAATACATGTTAAAATAAAACTATATTTGACGAATGTATGTTTTCTTTTTTATGTAATGCCTCTTTCTTCACATGTAATAAAAAAAAAACAACATCGAATTTTTATAAAAAAATTAAATACGATGAAAACAAAATGGTGGAATTGTTATATCTGTCGAATAATTTTTATACGAGAGAAACATAATGAGAAATACATGAATATATTCATCAAATGTTGTACTATTATCATTATTGTCTCTTAGTTTGATCCTTATCAAAGCTCAGAAAATACTTCATTTCATTCTATTCAAATGACATTACTTCATAGATAGTGCTTTGTCAGGTAACCTAGAAGTAGTTACCTCCTTCATTCACGAATATTAAAACATTCATGAATGATTCAACTATTCGAATCGATTTTATCAACAAGACCTACTTTGAAGGGTCTCTAACAAGCAAAACAATTATTTTCATCATTCAGCTAAGGCAAACTGATAACGAAAACAACAAGACATGAATCAATTATGTTAAAGTGTTTAAAGAGCAGAAATATGATATACTGCATCATCAGGAAACTATTTTGAGATGAATTCGTGAGTGTTGAAGCATGTAGATGAGCATTTACTTATCACGAAATGATTATCTTTTTCATTGTATAACACTATAACTCATAGTTTGTTGTATATGTTTTAGAAATAAATGCTCTAGATGTGTCAATCTTTTAGGTTTTGATAATTTTTTTGCAAAATTTATGCATCAAGATTCACTATGTTAAAATAAAAGTTTCTTAAATTTTTTATAAAAGGAAAAAACAAACAATAAGTGATGATATCACTTCACATTTCTTTTTATTTAGTTTCAATTTATCTGTACATATTTGTATAATAGAAAAGTCTGTCTTCTCACCGAATTCCAGCGTCGGATCAATGATTCTAGATTGCTCTCACATGTATAGAGAGACGTCAATTTTTGTTTAATCATTTTGAAGACGATATTTTAAAAATAAAAATCCTATGACATAAGATGAAAGAAAAATAAATGAAAAATAAAAGAATATTAAAAAAAATGATTTTCATTTATCATTCAGAATAGAGGAGTCTAAAAAGAAAAAAAATATTATTTTCAAATTTAATCTTCAATTTAACCGAATGAATTCATCATTGTATGATAAAAAAAAACATATATATAAAATATTGCAGATAAATTTTGAAGTATAATTAAAGGTTTTGTTCTCATCGTTGATTTCTCTAAATGTAAGTGTTTCACCCACACAGTGTATATATAAGATAAAGATTTTTTTCGTCGACAACGATATGATATTAATGTACGTCAGACGAGAATAAAATATACACATCACTACCTAAAAATTGATCATCAAATCAATTATGTAGTGTTATGTGTTGAATAATTGATAAGAAAATCAATTAAAATCATGAGCATCGATCAATTAATCTGAGGGTGTATAAAAACATAAATACATCATCATGAAACAATACACTCGAGTTGTATCATTACAATGTATTTATATACCCGGGTTAATTATTATTATGATATTATTTACAATGATACTGATATATTGTATTATATTTGAGGTAAATTAATTCATTTTATATTTAAAATTATACTTTTCTTTTTTAGATGAGCTACGATACGATATAACATTGAGAGGTAGGACAAAAAAAATTTTTTTACATGTTGAGATAACTTATTTTGAGAGAAAATAAACACTGTCAGTCGTTATGAGTATAAGTATGAGTACGTTTGAGATTAGATGAGTTGAGTTATAGATGTTATCAGTGTGGGTCAGAGAGCTATGTTGTCTGACTCAATAGGTAGAGGAACTTTCTTGCCATAGCGAAGCAGTTTAGTACTAGGGAAGGCCTCTATGAGTCGTTGGTTCCTACCGTTCATACGACATACCTTCGGCCATTGCTCTACCAGTCCGCCTGTGGTACCTATGGCACTGACAAAGGATCTCTCCCTTGTCGCGCGCGCGCGTAAGCCAAAATGAGCCAAGAAAAGTCGAAATAAACAGTAATGTGAATAATTTTATTGAGTATATAAAAAAAACAATTTACACCTTTTTAACATTGTTAATTCTACGAATCGTTTCTTTAATATGAGGATGTGATGGCGGAAGTGTTTTCTGTTGAATAGCTAGCGCCTCTTCGAGAAATGAAAGTGCCTTGAAGTAATTCCCCATATTGTTATACACTTGACCGATATTGCCATATGAAATAGACAAATTGGGATAATTCGGAGGCAGAGCTTTTTCGTAGATTTTAAGTGCTTTTTCGTAAAAATCAAGTGCTTTCGAGTAGTCACCCATTTTGTCATACACCGAACCGATGTTGTTGTAGGAAGTAGCCAAATCGGGATGATTCGAAGGCAGAGCTTTTTCTCTTATTTTAAGTGATTTTTCGTAAAATTCAAGTGCTTTCGAGTAGTCACCCATGTTGTTATACACTAGACCGATGTTGTTGTAGGAAGTAGCCAATAAGGGATGATTCGGAGGCAGAGCTTTTTCGTATATTTTATGTGATTTTCCGTAAAACTCAAGTGCTTTCGAGTAGTCACCCATGTTGTTATACACTACAACGATGTTGTTGTACGAAGTAGCCAAATCGAGATGATTCGAAGGCAGAGCTTTTTCTCTTATTTTAAGTGATTTTTCGTAAAATTCAAGTGCTTTTGGGTAGTCGCCCATGTTGTTATACACTCCACCGATGTTGTTGTAGGAAGTAGCCAATAAGGGATGATTCGGAGGTAGAGCTTTTTCGTAGATTTTAAGTGCTTTTTCGTAAAATTCAAGTGCTTTCGAGTAGTCATCCATGTTCTTATACACGAGACCGATGTTGTTGTAGGAAGTAGCCAATAAGGGATGATTCGGAGGTAGAACTTTTTCGTAGATTTTAAGTGCTTTTTCATATAAAATTTAAGTGCTTTCGAGTAGTCACCCATGTTGTTATACGCTAGACCGATGCTGTTGTAGGAAATAGCCAAATGAGGGTGATTCGAAGGCAGAGCTTTTTCGAAGATTTTAAGTGATTTTTCGTAAAATTCAAGTGCTTTCGAGTAGTCACCCATGTTGTTATACACTAGACCGATGTTATTGTAGGAAGTAGCCAAATCGAGATGATTCGAAGGCAGAGCTTTTTCGAGGATTTTAAGTACTTTTTCGTAAAACTCAAGTGCTTTCGAGTAGTTACCCATGTCTATATATACCGAACCGATGTTGTTGTAGGAAGCAGCCAGTGAAGGATGACCTGCTGGAAGAGTTTTTCGATTGATCTCGAGGGATTTTTCGTGAAACGATGCTGCTTCTTTGTATAGTCCTTGATGGTTTTTCAGCACTGCAAGATTGTTGTAAAATTTTGCTCTAGCAATGTCGTTGGAGGTTTGTTCGAGTAGTGCGATATACAATTTCTCGGCCTTGCTATATTGTCCTATTTTTAGTAGCAATGTACCCAATCGTCCCCAACATGTCTCTTGTGAAGCTTCTTTTAATATACTTTCTGTGAGTTGACGTAGTTGTTGGTCTTCATCAGATGTCAGTTTAAGTTCTACTTGAAAGAGTGAACTTTCATTTTCAAGTTTTCGAATTTCACCAATTCGAAAAACAGTGTGCATAGAGAAGAGGATTTCATTTTCTTCCGCGAAATTACTCATTTCCCGTATAGAGGCAAATGGACTTGATAAGATGGTGGGATCTATCGACATTTGAAATAGGATGCCTACCATACCAGGTTTTTCTATGGCACTTTCAGCAAAAGCAAGAGAAGCAGCTTCATCTGTACTGGTGGATAAGAAATTATTGAAGGAAATAAGTCCACCTTTGTTCTTCTGAAGTTTGTCGAAGTCGACTGTGGATAATCCTTGTCCCCGAAAAACTTCAAAGATCTTTCCATGATAAAGACTGATCTGTTGTTTGTGTAAACTATCAATTTGTCGATGCAGATCAGCAAGAAAAAAACCCATTCTTATAATTGTCTCGCCATCAAGTGTTCGAAGAGACTGGTTGAGCATCTCGTAAAGAAAACACTCACGACTGTACCACCAAATTGCTGATTGATCACTATATTGACTTTCGAACTCAGTGATATCCTTCACTTTTGCTGTGTTATTGCTGTATTCGTTTCGCCAAAATTGAATAAAATCCTTCTTGGCTTGTTCACCATGTTTCATATCAAGAAGAATTTCCTTGAATATTTGAGAGTACATGAATGAGGCTTCAAGCTGATTGAGATCTTTGCTGGAATCTTCTTCGTTTACACTGATAATGCTTACGGATATGTCATCTTTATTGCATTGCTTGACAGCTATTTGCAATGCATCGCAGATAAGCGGAATTTCTGTGTATGGACCCTTAACTTTGTTCCAATGACTACTCCAATGTTGTTGTGAAGCTTTGCTACTGCAATCGATGTAGATGCTATCAAGTTGAGGAATATCATGGATGAGGGGTATCATTTGTTGGCCCATAGTATCCGATACAATGAGAAATGCCTTTTGATTATCAACTTCAGCGAGATAGTCAACACATTCATCACGTTGTGTAAAGGTATAGACTTCATTAGCTATGCTTTGCAGTTGTTCGAGTGTATTTTGGTAATATTTATCTGCTGGATCAATGTTTTCATCGACCCAAAGGATCAAATAATTCTGAGCGATGTACCGTGTTGATTGCATGGTGATTGATGGACCTGTTGTGTTTGTATGGGTACCAATTGTTGATTTGGACATATTTTTTTTTATTTTTGTTCGTTCATATCCATTGTGAATTGTCGGTTGTTGCTCAATCGAGAATGGTGGATAGTTGTTTGTCGTTTAAACAGAGATCATTTCTTCTATTTATATAGTAGGTGCCTTCTGTTTTTTCTACGACATTAAATGTGGATGTTTGTTTATCGTCAACAGTC